AATCGTTCTTTTAATAATTTTCTCACGTAAATATAAATTCCTTAAAACAATTTACACAAATTAAAAGAGTAAGGATGAGAGAAGACTGCATAGATAATTTTTATCCTGGTTCGAATCACAGAGATTTTACATCCAGTTGTTAATCTCAACCGAGAATTAACGCTTCACTAGCACAAACCAACAAACTGTTACAATCACAAAAAAAATAAACAAGTTAAAGGTTAGATCACTTCTCTTTTTACCCTAAGAAATGAAACTCACTTCCCCTGTAACCCACAAGGGATGAACACCTCCTCCGAATGCTTCACAAAGGATGACCACCTCCCTCGAATCTTCACAAAGAATGAACACCTCTTTTGAATCTTCACAAAGGATGATAGGCTTTTAACTCAGTAGTAGCAACAACACTCAATCACACTCCTAGTGAAAGTTCTCACTCTATGCCAACACGCCAAGTTCTCAAAGCCACAACATAAGGGTTATACAAACCCTAGAACACTTACCACCACACTGCAGATAATAATTTTGAAATACACTTATTTCGTATGTTGTATTTTAGAACGAGAGTCTCAATCTAATTTATAGAGATCTCATTCAAGGGTACCTCCAAAAATCTGTTGTCAGCTAATTAATGTGTGATAATCAATTATCCACTTATGGTAATTGATTATGCATTTAATGAATGCACAATGGTAAAAAAAACTTGCTTAAAAATTCTAATAATTGCTCGTGATAATCGATTATGGCAAGTCATAAATGATTATTGATAATCGATTATCTATAAGTTGATAATCAATTATCTTGAGTATAAAATGAGGTTTTCTGATTCAAAACGAATTTTAACGCAACATAAGGCAAACAATACATAGAATCAAAGATAAACCACATACTATACATAAATCTACTAAATTAAAAAAGCTTTAATATAAAAACAAGTCTTCAGGAAGATCTTCCAGCAATAAAAACACTTTATACTTGACTTTGAGACATAATCAAAATTTCTATTTTTCAGCTTTATGCTAACAATCTCCCCCTTTTTTATGATGATAAAAAATATTTTAATTTAACGCTTTTTGTAACATGTATTGATATGTAACTCATACATAACTTAAAAAAAGAGTTATTAATAGACAAAACATAAATATAATTAAGTCTTTAAACATATTTCTCCCCCTTTTTTATCATTATTAAAAAGGCGTTATGTATGAATAAATCATTTCTCCCCTTAATATAAAACTCCTTCTTTAATATAAGCCAAAAAAAGGCAAAACAAACAAATAAGAGTTATCATAATTTTTATTAAAGGGAAACATGAGGCATAATTCAAAACATAGTAAATACAATAAATTAAGAAATCATAACAAATAAATAAAAACAAAAGTACTCCTCCTTATTGAGTAACTTAAATAAAATTAAAGTGTCTCTAAATTTGATACCTTAAGGTAGAAAGAGAAGTAGTTTTAAAAAAATATCAAAATTTTTCTTTTCATGTTAAAAACTCCTCCTTAATTTGACAAACCATACTTTACCAAGTTTTGGTGCATACCCAAAAGTTTCTTCCTTAATTTTGAAATAACCTGCAAAATAGAAAAATAATATTTTGGTCCCTAAAAATACTTATTTAGGTCCTTTAAAGTTAGAGAAAAATTATTTTATAATAGGAATCTATGCATATATTCCATTTGGAATATCATAATGTTTTATTCTACATTTATTTGGTGGATGACCATTTTTCATGCAATAAAAACATGTAGCAATATTTGGTGATGACCTTTTTTAATGCAATAAAAACATGTAGCAATATTTGGTTTTCTATAATTAATTTCTTGCTCTACCCAAATTTTACAGGTTCTTTTATATTTAATTTTATAATCATAATAATAATTTTGTTGTTATAATTAGGAACATACTTGATTTTGTTTTTATAATTACAATTATGATAATTATAATTATATTTAGAAATATTTTTAATTTTTTTACCATAATTATAATTATTTGTACATGTTCAACCAACTTTTAAATTTTTGAATTATTACTACAATAAGTGTTGATTGTTTTATTTAAAGACTTCTTTTATTTGAACATAAAATACATTCTTCACTTTTGGTATATTTACATTTCTCATAATATAAAATTTTATTTTTCAAATCCTTATTTTCTTTAAGAATATTTTCGTAATTTGACTTTAATTCTTTAAATTTCTTTTTAATTTCTTATGAGCATTATCTAATTTTTCTGATTCAAATAATAATTATTTATATGTGTCAAACAATTCACTCTCACATTAATTTGAATTTTCAGAATCGCTAGAGGAACTTACTTGATTTTCAGAGATGTCATCAGCTATCAAACATATGTTGGCTTGCTCATCAGAGTTACTTGAGCTTGTTGTAGATTCATTATCTTCCTCCCAAGCAATATATGTCTTCTTTTTCTTGAACACTTTTTTTTTTGCCTCTTTCTTCACCCTTATTGGGTTTGGACAATCTGTCTCCATGTGTCCTTTTTCTCCGCAACCATAACAATGATAGTTTGATGATGATTCATTGGTTTCCTTCTTCCCATTTTTAAATTTTATTTTGCCTTGGACTTCATGAACTTGTTAAATTTCTTAATGAAGAGATCCATTTTTCTTCATCTTCTTTAGAGTCTTCTTCTTCATTAAGATGTTTGTTTTTATCAATCTCATATTTCAACGCCAGAGTCTTTTTCTTTCCTTTCTCTTCATCCTCGCTCAATCTCCCGAGATCTAGTTCATGTTCTCTCAACTTACCAAACAATGCAGCCATTGACATGATGTTGAGATTTTGTGACTCACAGATGGCAGTCACCTTTGATTGCCAAGTCCTGTCCAAAGATTTAGGAATTTTTATATTTAATTCATCATTATCAAAGAACTTACCTAACCCAATGAGATGATTCATATATGCGTGAAGCACTTCTGAACATCTACAATAGTTTCTCCTTGCTTCATGCGGAACATCTCATACTCTTGGATTAAAGTATTTCTTCTAGCTCTCCTAGCATCATCAATTCCTTCATGGGTCACTCTCAACATCTCCCACATCTCTTGAGCAATCTTACAGGTTGAGATCCTATAAAATTCATCAATAGTTAAAGTAGATGATATTATGTTACGAGCCTTTACGTTCTGTTGGGATCTTCTTCTATTATCAGCATTCCATTGTTCTATCGGTTTGAATTCTTGCAAATTGTTAATAAACACAATAGGAACCAAAGGACCATTTGTGACAGTTTCTCAAATCTCACTATCACTAGATTCCATGAAAGTTTGCATTCTCACTTTCCAAAAAGAATAGTTTTCTCCAGTAAACAATGGAGGTCTATTGATAGAGGAACCATCAACAAAGGTTTGATGTTGCCTGTCATTTTGAATTACTATCAAAGCAAGCTCTGATATCAATTGTAAGAACGACACAACGAAATTGTTAAGGTGTTCAACAAACCAGAAGGGGGTGAATTGATTTCTTAATGCAAATCGTTCTTTTAATAATTTTCTCACGTAAATATAAATTCTTTAAAACAATTTAAACAAATTAAAAGAGTAAAAGAGTAAGGATGAGAGAAAATTGCACATGTAATTTTTATCTTAGTTCGGATCACATAGATCCTATATCTAGTTGTTAATCTCAACCGAGAATTAATGTTTCACTAGCACAAACCAACAAACTATTACAATCACAAAGAAAATAAACAAGTTGAAGGTTAAAACACCTCTCTTGTTACCCCAAGAGATGAAACTCACTTCCTCTATAACCCACAAGGGATGAACACCTCCTCCGAATGTTTCACGAAGGATGACCACCTCCTTTAAATCTTCACAAAGGATGAACACTTCCTTTGAATCTTCACAAAGGATGATAGGATTTCAACTCAGCAACAACAACAACATTCAATCACACTTCTAGTGAAAGTTTTTGCTCTATGCCAACACGCCAAGTTCTCAAAGCCATAACACAAGGGTTGTACAAACCCTAGAACACTTATCATCGCACACTACAAATAAAATTTTTGAAATACACTTATTTCATATGTTGTATTTCGTAACCGTTGTCAGCTAATTAACGTGTGATAATCAATTATCCACTAATGGTAATTGATTATGCATTTAATGAATGCACAATGGTAAAAAATCTAGCTTAAAAAAATGTGTGATAATCAATTATTTATAAGTTGATAATCGATTATCTTGACTATAAAATGAGGTTTTCTAATTCAAAACGAATTTTAACACAACCTAAGCCAAACAATACATAGAATCAAAGATAAACCACATCGTATACATAAATCTACTAAATTACAAAAGTTTTAATATAAAAACAAATCTTCAAAAAGATTTTTCTCCAATTAGAACACTTGAGACTTGATTTTAAGACATTATCAAAATTTCTGCTATTTAGCTTTAAGTTTTTTTACTATTTCTTTTTGTATATAAAGTATTCAATATTTTTATATTTTTCAATTTAATATATATGTTATTTTAGTTCTTTCCCGACCATCATTATTTATTTGTATTCATATATTAAAAAAATATGAAAATATAAAATAATATTATTGAAAATATATAACAAGTAATCTTTATTATTTTAAAATGTATTAAATAATGACACCATCATAAATAAGACTTAAGAATTCACTTCACACCATCCATGATAGGTCATGATAATACATTATTATCTACCATATTTGTAATAAAAATAATAAAAATCATATACCATTTACTTTAACTAAAATATACTTTTATAGCCTGAAGATGTATGAACAAAATTACAAAAGAATACAATCATATGACCTTGTTAATAAAAAAAACTACAAATACTTTAATGAAAGATATAAAAATTTGGAGTTTTAATAAAATTTAATGAAGTCTAAAATTTATTATAAAATTCAAATATTAATTATTAATCCGAAGCAATTGAGTTCAAACTTAAAAAATTTCATCAATTTCGCAAACTTCGCGAAGGTTTTCGAATATGAATAAGTACTAATTTTTTTCCTTTTTACTTTTCCCGTACCTTGTTCTGTTCTGAGCAGACCATCTTCTTGTTAAGCAAGAAAGATACGGTGATGAAATACGGTCGTGGATCACACGCACCCAACAGAGGTTCCAAATTCGCTTCCCTGTTATCAACTTCGTAGCTCACTTTCCTATTCTCGAGAGATGGTGGTGCTTCCCGTGGTGAAGCTGGCAACACTCGCCCTCAAGACCGCGTGTAAACCAATCGCCAGCAGGCTCAAGAAGGAGGCCGGTTACCACCCTAAGTTCCGCAGCTTCATAATCGCCATTGCCCAGGTCCCACTTTTCTTTCTCCCTCCCGCACGTGTCTTATTTCCGTTTTCACACTCGCACGTGGGTTATTCTGTGCTGTGTGTGACTCTGGTTCTTCCTTGGCTCAGGCCAATCACAGATTGACGACGAGAGTGCAGAGAAGAATCTACGGTCGTGCCACCGATGTTGCAATCCGTCCTTTGAACGAGGAGAAGGCTGTGCAAGCTGCTGCGGATTTGCTTGGAGAACTCTTTGTGTTCTCGGTAATGATAACATAACGTTTTCCTGCTTCATGTTGTGCTTCATACCATTACTATCATGTTCGTTATGTGTCGAGAATTGTCTTCAACCTGTTTGTTTGTTTTACTGTTTTGATCATCACTGAATTCTGACAGAAGGAAATCCCACTTTGATTAGTGATAAAGCTAAAATAGCATTTACGTGATTGACAAATCTTGAGGTATTTTTGGATAAACTTTTTTATAAAGAGAAAAAGAAAAATTATATATAGACTAAAACTAATTTATATATAAGTTAGAAAATAGAAACACTAATATGATATATTTTTGTAAATTAATTTATATATAAGTTAATTTTATTTTATGGAGAAACTAATTTCGTTTTTCTTTCTTATTTTGTTCTTCTATACATCTATGTGAAATTTATAGAAACATACTCTTAGATCAAGAATTAACTTTTTAATTGAGTTTGGTTCAAGTTCAAATTATTAGACAGTGCCGAAACTTATCAGTGTGGTTGTTGTAAGGCATATCGTTTTCTTTTTTATTAGGTTATTCTCAATTTTAGAAATTTCACGCTTGCAATATTCTTCGGTATAGTATGTATACAGTTCAATGGACATGTTCCCCCATTGTTTTAAGACTTTTTCTCAGACTAGATCGACTCAGTTGAAAGGTACTAAAGTCTGGTCAACGATTGTTTCTACCAACTATAGAAATTGGGTTGTGTTAATTCGACCTTAGGTTCAACATATCAGTTACTTGTTCCCAATTCCTTGGTATCGGTATAGTACATATGGGTAAGGGGCAATCCTTACCCATTAGCTAGTTGGGTCTAGTTGTGAAAGTATGGTTCTCGACCCCTACATACGGAAACACTATGAATTCCACTATAAATTCTAATATATATATATATATATATATATATATATATTTTTTTTTTTTTATTTTTCTAATAAGAGCACTCTGGACCAATATTGAAGATCTTTTGACTACCATTTGAATCTGTACAAATGACACTTCTGTTCATTAAACTGATTGACCCTTTAGATAGTTGTTTGAAAAATTTTCCTTTAAAAGTACAGAAGGGATAACTTATGTTATGGAAGAGTCGGTCCACCTTCTTTCAAACTTTGCAGGACATATATAAAACTTCATAGAAATAAAAGATCAAATAGTTTGTGTGCATTTTTTCCCGTGTTTGTTTTCATATTGAAAGATGAATTCCCAGTTTGGTTAGCTTTGATCCAAGTAGAGATGAGATAATCTGTCCCGTATTTAGTCCCTTCAAAAGGAATATGTTATAACCCCTTTGTCAGATTAGGGTTTTTAACTCTTTCAGAGTTTAGTTTTCAGTTAGTTGGTTTGTAACAAATATGTTGTTTGGGTCATAAAAACCCTAACTTTTGATAGTAATGGTAAGTAGAAATATTCAGATTACTGTGTTGAAAATTGTGCAGTGTTACCTGAGTTCAGGCAGTATTAGCCGTGAGTTCTGTCGTTGCACTGCTGTAAGGAAAGGAGGCAGTGGGAAAATTGATAGAATAGGTTGTAATCACGTGAAGAGGTGGAAACGGTGAAAGATTGTGACTGGAAGAGGTGGAAAAGGTTGAAGACAGTCAATTGAAGGAAGAGAGTGACAAAGGAAATTCAGTATAAAGAAGGAGACCGTTACAGAATACCATTAGTGAATGCTAGCCGTATATGGCAGGGAAAGCTACTGTTCCTTAAATATATGCATAAGGTACTGGGAATTGAATTAATAGATTTGACTTGTGCAGAGACACCTTGGATGAATATTTTGTTGGGAAGGTCTCAGCTCCTCAATAATAGACGTTCGTTCAATTCATTGCCCAAAAATTCGGTCATATTAGCTTGCTTTTTATTGCCTCTGGTATTAAATTGAGTTATGGTTAATTCTAGGATGTTTTAAGAGAATGCTTGTGTACTTTTCAATTTACTCCCACGAAGCACCTAAGCCAAATAGAGCCATTCTATGAAAAGCTGTCTATGGCCTGTGTGTATGTTTTTGCCATTGTCTAAAAGTATTTATAAACTTGTGTAGGCTAGGTTCTTAATGGACTTCCCTTGTCTAATAGAAGAGAAGAAAAAGATTTAAACCAGAAAATGAGATTTGAATTATATTATTTGAGTGTGTGAAAGAGTCCTCTACGATCAAAGTTGTTCTGATTTTGAAAACTACTAGGCTTTGTATGTATTAACCGACAAATATCTGTCTGAATGGTAGCATCCAAGATTACTGTCGACCATATGAAGATTGTGATTTGATAACCAATGTGACTTGTTTGACTTTTAATCCCATTTCATTTTTGTGATTTTAAAAGAATATTGCAAATATATACGTACGAAGTTCTTACCATAAAATTGTAGAATTTCCACTTTCTTTCATCCATCTGTGTCATCTATCTTTGTATCTGCCATCACCAATTTGTCTTCCTCATAACATAAAACAGGAGTTTTTGCACAACATAAATTTAATTTCCTTCTATTTAGGTTGCTGGAGCTGCTGTCATTTTTGAGGTGCAAAGAAGTTCAAGATCAGAAGCAAGAAAGGAAGAAATACGTAGACAGGAAATACAGGTTGTCTTTCTGCCTTCTCTGTTATAGATGATCCTTTGTGAGGGTGAAAAGTTGAGGGATTCATTGAAGAAAAGTTGGTCTTGTAATCAAATATTTTCTCTGAATGCTATCAAGGATGGAGGTTTAAATTTAGATTTTTGCCATCTCATCTACGCTATACTTTTACCAACCTATCTATTTAGTCTTGTTTTCTTTCATTGGAGTTGGAGGAAAAAGTTATTGGGGGACCAAAAATATTCTAAATCTCATGGACGTACTCAAGTTTTTGTGACTTTGCACTTTTGCAGGCAATACAGACGAGGAATGAAGAGTTGGCTAGAGAAATGGAACTTCTTGCACACAAACTTGAAAAGCTGGAACAACTTTCTAGAGGCCGAGGATTATTTGGCACTCTTAACTTCGGACCCACTCATGTCTCCGAAAATACAAAATCCAATTGATTGCTGCAATTAAGCATTGACCACAGATTTTGTTAAACAAACCATTGCTCTTGGTTTGGAAAGGAAACATAACTGATAAAATAGCAGAACACATAAATTCTGCCTGCTAATTACAATTTTCTAGGCTTTGGATGATCTATACATATGTTTCCTCCAAAATTTTGTTCATCCTCATGGTAGCTCAAATGATATTGTAATTTGTAGCAATTGTCTGATATTCTATAAAACAAATACAAATCAGATACAAGTTGTTTCCTTGGCTCTTAATGAAATACTACATATAAAATATAACCTTAAATGAGTTAGACTACATGATATAATTTATATTGATGTTCTGCAGTGCCACCTGATATACCAGAAAGAAAAATACAGTGCAGTGTATAGAAAACAACCGAAATACAGCTAAATATGATTTAATTAATAAAAATTTAAGAATATATAAAATTGATTAAATACGATTTAATAAAAAATTGATAAATCAAATTTTAGATATAATTTAATAGGATTTACTTTGTTACTAGAAATAAAAATGGAATTTAGTTTTTATTAAATAGAAACAAAAGCTAAATGTGGGTGTTGGGCGAAGATAGAATAAAACTAACTTCAAAATATAGATATTGAAGTGAGAAGCTTACTTTCAAAACTTAAGAGAGAGGTGGCACCAATTTAATTTTAGGCTTAATACCTCTTTTGGTCCCTCAAAAGAGGGGGAATGATCAAAGTGGTCCTACCTTTTTAAAAAAGTTGAAAACTGTCTCAAGTTGTGAAAAAATGAGTCAAGTTAATCCTTTTTCCTTATGGCGTCAAAAATGTAATAATGCAGGTGCCTCCTGGACAAAACATAATAACCTGTCCAATTCTTGTCATTATGTAGCACTATGAGGTTAAATGACGTGTCAATTTTGAATTTTTAAAATTAAAGTTAATGATGTGGGAATATTTTAACATAGCGTTAAAGGAAAAAAGATTTAGGTTAGAATCAATTCGTGATTTGGGGTGGAAGAATTTGGTGAAAGTGGTGTTGAAAATAGGATCGTGGTGTTTTGTTGAAGGTGCAATTTCAAGAGCGTAGCTGAGGTCAGTGTTTTTCTTTGTATAATTTTGTGATTCCTATCTCACCACTACCACTTTCCTCACCTCAATGGTGACGCACAAAGCAAATGGCCATGGTTAGGGGTTTTGAGACTCACGCGAGAGAAGAACAAGTGAGAAACGGGATGAAAAAACAAATTGGGGATTTCCCAATTTTGGGTTTTTCCAATTTGGAATAAGGGTTTTTGATTGAGTTTCTTCCGTGGTGGCACCAGAAAAGAAGGACACTAAAAAATTGGGGATCTTCCTTAGGGTTCCAAAATTGGGGCTTTTTCCAAATTAGGGTTTCTTAACAAATATAATCAGGACTTTCATATATTATAAAAGGAAATACTTTATCGGGTTTTAATTTCCTTTATTTAATCAAACTATAATCATTCTTCCTATTGTTTGCCTCCTGCTTGTATCATTCAACCTGTGTAAACCACTCTTTCAAGTAAAGAAAGTGATACAACTTTCATAAGCCACTGTCAACCACAGTAATAAGAGCTAAAGGACTATGAACCTTAAGCACGAACAAGGGAACAATGGATCAAAATTCACTACAGAGGTATACAATTTGTAATCAATTAAAGAACCTCAAATTTGGTTCATGCTATCTCGCCCCTAGGAAGAAGTCATTCCTATCTCGTCACAACCACTTTCCTCACCTCAGGGACCAAGTTACACGAACCCAAACCTCAACCCCTCTTTTTTAACCTTTGCCAAAACATTACCACGTAATCAATATTTTTTGTCGCAATTTTAATTTTACATGTCATTTAACCTCACACTGCCACACAATAACAAAAATTAGACATGTCATTATGTTTTGTCCAGGGAGACACCTACACCGTTACATTTTTTATGTCATAAGAAAAAATAATTAACTTGATCCGTTTTTTCACAACTTAGGACCATTTCCAATTTTTTTTAAAAAGGTAGGACTACTTTGAACATTCTCCCCCTTTCGAGGAACCAAAAGAGGTATTAAGCCTTAATTTTAAAAGGAACTCTGCTTTTAAGCTTTCGTGGGAATCTGGTTCCACGAGTCATATATTAACACAACAAGATTAGTCTCACTGTGAATCCATAAAGTTTTAGGATCATCACAGTCAAATAAAGTATATTTTCTAAGGGTGTGTTCACTTTATAATATTGATTAAGGGAGAGTGGGTAGATGAATTTGAAAGGATTTGAGAGTGAATTGATTGTTGTTTTTTTAGAGAATATGGAGCTGAGTGAGAGTGAATTTGAAAATAAAGTTTGTGAAAATTAGTGTAGAATTTGACCGATATAAGTTATAACAGATAAAAAAAATTGTTTAATTGGTAAAAATTGAAGATTACCAAAATACTCCTAATTATAAAAGTTATATAAAATAATAATTTTTAATCTTATATTTAATTGTAAAAATGTTTATAAGGAGAAAAAAAATAAAAATTAATTTTTATAGATTATATATATATATATATATATATTTTTTAATTTGAATTTTACTAATCAATAAAGTAAAATAATATTAATTATTTTTGTAATTATGTCTTTTATGATGTGAGTTATTATAAATTTTTAAAAAATAATAATCAGGTTATTAAAAAGTTAAAATTAAAGTTAATTTCAATGTAAAAAAGTTATTTATACGTTTTAAAATTATCTTAAATAGTTAAATCAAAAGAAATATGGTTGCTGATATAAAAATTGTTACATAATAAGAAACTGGTAAATTTAACTAAGTGACATTAAATTATGTAATATGAAAATAAAAAAAATAACGAACGAAAGTTATACTTTAATTATGTATAATGTAAAAATAAAACAAATTTAATGATAAAAGAAACATTATATAAAAAATTTGCTGTGAAGCTATGTGGGGAGGAATAATTGTGTTTTGTTAAATGCTGTGCTTAGAAAGAGGGTTTTCATCATAATTACCCTCAAAAAAACGCAGTTGATCTTCCAAATCAATCTCCTCCAATTCTTCTTAACAGTATTTTCTCTTCAAACAAACATAGTATAAAACGAACGTAGTATAAGGGAATTTACAGTTCAAAAGAATTAGCAAGAACGATTGACAATTTAAAATCTTTTAGTTTTGAAGCATTTATACGTAAAAGAAGACGATTATTTGAAATGATTTCCGATATATCAATTTCTTTGAATTAGGGATGATATATAGATATTTAAATTGATTTAAATTAAATCTTATTTTTATTCTTTTACCATTTTAATAATTTCAATTTTCATATATAAAATATTATAATATTATGTACTGGAATTCAGTTTTGTTTCGTTAATAACAGTAATATTAAAATAAAAATAATCATAAATAATAAAATAATAATTTTGAATTTTTGAAATTTCAATTTTTAATTTTAATTGTTTATATTTTGATATTTTTTATGTTTCAAATTGTATCTAAGCAAAATATTTTTTTATTAGATATGGTTATTTTTAAAAAAAATATTTTTTAAACATTATTATTTGATTTTATTTAAATATAAATTTATTTTATTTTCAAAATTAATTTTAATCTTTTTTCTTTATAATATTTTTTATCAATAAATATATTATTAATAAATATCATTTATATTATTTTTATATTTCAATAATTTTATTTTATATCAATTAAAATAATTTTTATCCATTATATTTATTAAATTTTTTACAAAAATTTACAAACTTTATTTCTAAATTTATTATGAATCATTTTTTATTTTTTGAGTAATAATATCTTAACATAAATTATATAAAGATAAAATAATTAAAAAAGTATAAATTTTTATATTATTTATAAAATAAAAATAAAAAATAAATAAAAATAATGAAATACTTAGACGTGTCAAAAAAATCTTTTATTAATATCTTTTAAAGAAAAGTAAACAGAAAAACTTTTCTTCGTTTTCATTATTTTTATACGTTATTTAAGGAAAAGTATTCATTATTATTTATAAATGTGATTTACAACCTTTATACATAACACTCAGCTTTTTCTGTATGTAATGTCAATCAAGTCTGATCCACCCACTTCTGCAGGTTTTATAAACAGCAGAAACCGTACAAACGAAACTACCCTTCCAAAGCTAACAACATAACACAAAGGATAAAACCCTAATGACAGAATGCAACGTATAAGCAACATGTTATTTATTTTGCAAATATTTGGAGACTAGTTATAGCTCTTATAATTAAAGAATACATAAAGTTTTTTTAATTAATTTCTAATAATGTTTACTTTTTATCGAATGTATATGTTTTCTAGTTCATTTGATAAAATTACATTTTAAATTAAAATTATTTTCTTCTTTAAGTATTAAATATATTCTTTTATTTACAGCTTATTACTAATCTTATTTTTTCAATGAAATTATGTTACTATAATGTTTTATATTTTGTGTATCAAAATTAAATCTAATATATTTTATTTTTGCCTTTGTCTAAACATTATGTATGATAGATATACAATGATACATTTAAATAGCTTTTACTTTGCTCTTTTAGAAGTAAAAACTTAAAATTTAAGATTAAAATAAATAATCTAATCAAACATATTGAAATGACAAAAATATTATTCTCAACAAAAATAAATTGAACCACAAAAATTCTCTTAAAAGTATGATGAATATTTAAAGGACTAGCTTAATTGTAGTTTTTTTTTTGAATTACAATAGAGCAGTCATCCCATCTCTGGAAAGTTTTTTCCTACACTTCCAAAATTCTAATATTATCTCTTCCTTTAATAATATCGAAATTCGAAAACTGGTCAAGAAACTTACTTAAACAGTTTTGTAGATAATTTTTTTCATTTTAATTTTTTAATTTACTTTTTTATTTAATAATAGTAAAAATGAAAAATAACAATAAAATATATTAAAAAAAGTTAAAAAATTAATATTTTAAAATTGAAAACAAATTTGAAAAAATTATTTGTTTAAATTTAATAATAGAAAAAATATTTTTCTTACCTAATAAATATTTAATAAATTTATTATTTTTAAATAATTTTGTATAAAATAATATTTTTATTAATAATAATAATATTTTTTGATTACTAAATTAAAATAAATAATTTTTTTATTTAAAATAATAAATTTTGTTTTTAATTTTTTAATATGTTTTATTATTATTAATGAATAAAAAACATAAAAATGGACTAAAAAAAGTAAAAAAAAGAACATCTTAATCGTTTTTAAAAACTGGTTAAAGAATTTTTTAGTTGACTTTTCGAAAGTTGATAAAAAATTCTTTTTTTAAAAATCTTTCTTAATCAATTTTTAAAAATCGGTTAAATAAGTTTTTTAATTGGTTTTTTAAAATCTGAAATTATTAATTTAAAAGATAATATTAAAATTTTAGAGATAGAGAATAAATTTTACAGTAAAGACTCATTTACTGTGACAAAACAAGTTAAAGTATGATAAGGAATAATTAGAAAAGGCACAGACCAAAATTTCTTGCGTCTAATTGAAGTTTCCAAGGTGCAAAAGATCACCACATCATTATTATTATTATTTATTATTAATAATAAATAGAAAAATAAAATAAAAATCTGCGAATTCATCGTAGGAATTGAGGGCTTCAATTTCCACGATTGGCTTCTGTGAGTCTCTCTCACTCGTCGTGAGCTGATCCCAGTGGAGCCGTCATCTACAGTCATCTTTCCCCTTTCTACGTCGTCGTTTTGCACCCCATTGCTCCCTTCTCTCCAATTCAAGATCAAAGGTAAAATACCCATCGAGCTAATTTCGGTTGAACTAGTTTTAAGTTCAACGTAGATGTAGAAAGCCCCAAGCTTTGTCATTTGGGTGCACCGTCAATGTTGATTTTTTTGTGTCACTTTTTTTTTTTCTGAAGAGTTTTATTGTGGATTGTGGTTTGATCAGTGACATGCATAAAACTAGATTCTGTTATGTACATGTTTGTGAAAAACGTTTGTCTAAGTTAGCCCAATGCTTACGAACTGAATCAGCCTCGGTTGCATGTTACATTTTTAAGATTTTTCTGATGTGATGTTATTTAATTGTGCTAATTAGTGCCCTACATTGGTTATTGTGTGATAATTGTTCTAGGAAGGTATGATGAGAGAAAGTTCCAAGGGCAAGTTTGGATCCTCTTCTATTCAATCCATGAAGGAGAAGGAAAAACACCTGGTGGATAAAATTCAAGGGATTTTCAGCAATCTTCAGTGTGCAAGAAAAGAGGGCAGGGGTAGTGACATTGTGATCTTTGAGGAGCAGATGCATCAGCTTCTCCGCGAGTGGAAGGCGGAACTGGAGTCTCCAGCCACCTCCTTAGCTGTATGTATTTAGGTTTTCGGACATGGCTAATTATTATGTCTGTGCTTTCTTTGTTCATCTCAAAGAAGAGTTGACGGTTGTTGTAATATGTTCTGGCAATAACATTCTGTAGGATGGAAGCTTTGATTCGTTTACCAGTGAACTTGCCCAACTGTTGCAAGTGATTGAGGAGAAAGATGATGCAACTAGTCCATTAACAAAACCTGGGCCGTTGAAGACTGAGCTCCAAACAAGTAACATTAATGACAACAATTTTCAGTTTTTTCAGGAGGTAAGTTTCTTTAACTAGTGCAGGACTCATTTTTGTATTTGTGGTTTGTTTCCTTACCCTATTCACTAAACTTTACCAGCACTATTTTTCTTTATTATACTTGGCTGTTTGCTTTTGTTATATTTGAAGATGGAAATAATGTGTTTTGTTAATCCATACAAGTATTTTCTAAATGGTATCAATTCAACCATATGGAAAAATGTGCCAAGGTCAGGTGAAGCTTGTGTTTGCTGACTGAATTTTATAGGTGTAAAAGTAGAAGGATTATATGTTTTAACTGGCGAATTTGGTTATATCATGCCAACACAGGACTTTTGGTTACATCAAAAGTGTTCACTTCAAATAGTTCGAGTGCTTTTCTTGGTACTAGATAGTTAACCAAAAAAAATATAAAATCAAGGAGAACTTTTGAAGTTATGAAACCCATTGGTTAAGATATTTTCCCAACTTTGTGTATATAGAAATTGAACACGAGTCCAACGCCATAAGTGCAAGGAACATCAAGTTGTTGAAAGTTTTAGTCAGAACATGCAGCCTCGTTTACATTTTAACTTCTAGGTTGCTTCCAACTTGTCAAACTTCATTGGTTGAGGGAGAGATACAGAAAAGTGAACCCTTATAAAATACATCTAGCTAATAATAATTAACAACTTAATTGGTTAATGCTTGAGTGGTTTGTTGTTCCTAAAACAAATTGCAATTTTCTCAAAAAAAAAAAAAAAAAAGAAAAAACTAATGCACATGTATAAAGAAATACATGCATGAACCAAAAGTTCTATTTTTTGAATAATATTTCTGTGCTTTAATAATTGGTACTTGGTATCTTGCAGAAACATTTTGATGATAACCAACCTCTAGGTCATAATTTCGAAGGCTCTGCTTCAACTGTGTACAACAATGCTTTTAATAACTCAGATATGGAACAGTTGGATTTTCATCCATTCAGTTTAAATCAAGATATGAATCACAACCAAGTTGGTCACAACTCTGATTTGATTGGTCAGGTGGATTTATATCAGGACCTCGGGCATAACACAGAAATTAAACACTCAGAATCAAATCAATTTAGCATAGAAGGTTTTGATTGTAGCCAATTCTTTGGAGCTGAGGATACTGTGCATCATGGAGAAAACATTATACCTAACATTCTTCCAAATATCTGCCCTCCACCATCTGCTTTCTTAGCTCCAAAATGTGCCCTGTGGGACTGTTTCAGACCCGCTCAAGGGGTAGAATGGTGCAGGAACTACTGTAGCAGTTGTCATGAGCTGTTGGCAAATAATGAAGGTCTTCCTGGCATGACTCCAATTTTACGACCAGGGGGCATTGGTGTAAAAGATGGTCCTTTGTTTGCTGCTGTTCTTGCGAAGACCCAGGGAAAGGAAGTGGGCATCCCCAGTTGTGAAGGCGCCGCATCAACTAAATCTCCCTGGAATGCTCCAGGTGAGTACACCAAATTTATTACCTCTCTGTTGTATATCACTGCTTAATTTTAGGATAAAGAATACACACATTGGTCATGTGAAAATCTTTGACATTGTTATCCAATCAGAGACTTTGATGTATTGAAAGTTTGTTGATTGTATAATAACTACCATAAAATTATGCTAAGAATAATTTGGCTGATAATATAGAACTTTTTACATTGACTGTGTGTATGAATTAAATTCTTAATTATGTTGAATTGTTCATTAAAGCTTCTCAAATTCTACCTTTAGGCTTGTCTAATGAATGGGTTATAGAAGAAATTGTTACTGTCCATGTTTTATTGTTTTTCATCTACATTGTTTAGGTTTGAAATGTTACCTTTTCTCTGGTGCAGAGTTCTTTGATCTTTCTTTTCTTGAGGGTGAAGCTATTAGGGAGTGGCTATTCTTTGACAAGCCTAGAAGGGCATTTGAAAGTGGAAACAGAAAACAAAGATCACTTCCAGATTACAGCGGACGCGGTTGGCATGAGTCAAGGAAGCAGGTGATGAAAGAACATGGAGGACAAAAGAGGTCCTATTACATGGACCCCCAGCCTCTTAGTTATCTGGAGTGGCATTTGTACGAGTATGAGATCAACAACCACGATGGTTGTGCATTATACAGACTAGAATTAAAGCTTGTTGAGAAAAAGAAAAGTCCTAAAGGAAAAGTGACCAAGGAATCTCTTAATGATTTACAGAACAAGATGGGACAGCTTACTGCTGCTGTTCTATCATCTGATGATGGAATACCCATCAAGGGAAAAACAAATGCCAAGTCTGAGAATGATGGATCTCCAGAAAATTAAATCAATACTCAATCTGGTGATTTTACCATATGACTGACAAACTTGTACATATTTGAGGATATATCATAGCATGTGAAAGTTTCTTACTTTCCTTCAACAAGGTAAAAGGCAAATGGAATTCTCTTTTGGTAGAATGAGCTCACACTCTTGTGCTGAATTTGTCGTTAATTATACTTTTGATATTGGCGTTATTTGAAGTCTACTCATAAGAAATTCGTTATGTGCTTCATAGATTAGAAGTTAGATCTATGTTGTTAGGAAGACTCTGCATACTTTCTGATGGGTCAGTGTAAGACTCTGCAAATTTCTGACATATTCATAAACTAATTAGCATTTATTTGGTTGTAAATGTTCTCTAATTTATGGATTATTTTCAACGTATATAAGTAGTACAATGCTGCAATTCCATGAGGGAATGCAAACTAGAGTGGGGAAAATTTATTGAAATGGTGAAATTTTCAATGTTGTTTTCGAAGAAAATGAGCTAAATATAATTTTTTTTTTATCCATATGGCTAAATCCGTGGAATGCAGGACTTCAAAATAAGGAAGTTGGCTAATGAATTTATTATACAATGCAGTGAAAAAAATGTGTTTGCATGCATAACTTTTCTTACTTTTTTAATAGAAGTTGTGTTTGTGTGTACAATCTTGTTTTTTTAGTAATAGGCTGTTTTCATGGAGGATTTTCCCTTTTTCAATTAGAAAATGTGTTTCTATGCATAACGTCTATTTTTTTTTTTTGCTTTTTTTATAAAAGGTATCAGAGATTTCACAGCTTCTGTTTATTTATTTAATTACTACTTTTGTTTAATTTATTCCGTGTATACAAATTATTCTGTGTGTATGAAAAAAAAAGTATTTATGAAAATTTGACAAGTTAATATTATTTTTTTAGGTCTTCTTCGCTCTAGTAGTTTATTTGTGGAGTTTTAGCTAAAAGTAACCGACCATAATGCAGCAGGAGTGAAAACTTAAATATGATTAAAACCAACTTGTAATACGAGTTTTCATAAATGTCTTTATTTTGTTTCGGTTTATTGAAATAATATTCGGTATTTCTTTTAGTTAAGAAAAAAAAATCCCATCTCAAATTTGTTTATTGTCTAAAAATTCATTAAATTCATAAAAATTATAATTTAGTAAGAAAATTTGGATTGTATAAAAAAAAATCCAAAATGATAATATTAAATAAAAATTAAAAAACAACTTGGAGCCAATAAAATAAATTTCAATTTAAAAAATGCACGCATAGATAAAAAAATTCACATATTTTATCTAAGAAAATACAAAATAACAAAAGGAAGGTAAAAATAAATGATAGAGAAGTTTTTGCTTAATAGATTAAACATGTAAAAACAGAAGTAGTGATATAAATGATTACTTTTACGAGGAAAACAAAATTAAAAACGTGCATGAAACATTATTTTTACTAAAAAAAAAGAGAAAATAAGATATGGAAGAATTACTTCTATTTAAAATAAAATTCGTATATGCAAATACATTTTTAATAATAAAAGAAAAAAAGGAAAATTATTAATGCAAGTCATTCACTACATTATAATTAGTCAGTTGTACATTAGAATACGACTTTATTTTATCTTTTCTGAAGTTTTGCTTCAAAATAAGATTTATCCATATATCATTAATTTTTTATACTTTTACCCTTTTTTTTACTAAGTGGAAGTGAAAATCACACTATTTTGTTTAATTCCCCCAAAGGTAAAGTTATTTAAACTAAGTAAAATAAAATGGAAAATAAAAAGAAACATTAAATAGAACGGAAAGTTCTAAACAAATGCATTTTGTAACATTTATGCAAGATGATAGTAAAATCCTTAATACAACCATTTAAGATTAACGAAACTGAAATTTTCATTTTTTTGTTTAAACAAGTCAAAAGTAAGATTCAAAATTCCATAATTAAATCAAAGTGTATATTATTTCATAAAATTCTTTATTTAAAATAAATTCATTTATAAAACAAGTTATTTTTTTAATCAATCTAAAGTTTTTTCAGTTAAATATTCTAATCAACGTTTCCAATAAAATCGGTTCCCTACATTTNAATTAACAACTTAATTGGTTAATGCTTGAGTGGTTTGTTGTTCCTAAAACAAATTGCAATTTTCTCAAAAAAAAAAAAAAAAAAGAAAAAACTAATGCACATGTATAAAGAAATACATGCATGAACCAAAAGTTCTATTTTTTGAATAATATTTCTGTGCTTTAATAATTGGTACTTGGTATCTTGCAGAAACATTTTGATGATAACCAACCTCTAGGTCATAATTTCGAAGGCTCTGCTTCAACTGTGTACAACAATGCTTTTAATAACTCAGATATGGAACAGTTGGATTTTCATCCATTCAGTTTAAATCAAGATATGAATCACAACCAAGTTGGTCACAACTCTGATTTGAATGGTCAAGTGGATTTATATCAGGACCTCGGGCATAACACAGAAATTAAACACTCAGAATCAAATCAATTTAGCATAGAAGGTTTTGATTGTAGCCAATTCTTTGGAGCTGAGGATACTGTGCATCATGGAAAAAACATTATACCTAACATTCTTCCAAATATCTGCCCTCCACCATCTGCTTTCTTAGCTCCAAAATGTGCCCTGTGGGACTGTTTCAGACCCGCTCAAGGGGTAGAATGGTGCAGGAACTACTGTAGCAGTTGTCATGAGCTGTTGGCAAATAATGAAGGTCTTCCTGGCATGACTCCAATTTTACGACCAGGGGGCATTGGTGTAAAAGATGGTCCTTTGTTTGCTGCTGTTCTTGCGAAGACCCAGGGAAAGGAAGTGGGCATCCCCAGTTGTGAAGGCGCCGCATCAACTAAATCTCCCTGGAATGCTCCAGGTGAGTACACCAAATTTATTACCTCTCTGTTGTATATCACTGCTTAATTTTAGGATAAAGAATACACACATTGGTCATGTGAAAATCTTTGACATTGTTATCCAATCAGAGACTTTGATGTATTGAAAGTTTGTTGATTGTATAATAACTACCATAAAATTATGCTAAGAATAATTTGGCTGATAATATAGAACTTTTTACATTGACTGTGTGTATGAATTAAATTCTTAATTATGTTGAATTGTTCATTAAAGCTTCTCAAATTCTACCTTTAGGCTTGTCTAATGAATGGATTATAGAAGAAATTGTTACTGTCCATGTTTTATTGTTTTTCATCTACATTGTTTAGGTTTGAAATGTTACCTTTTCTCTGGTGCAGAGTTCTTTGATCTTTCTTTTCTTGAGGGTGAAGCTATTAGGGAGTGGCTATTCTTTGACAAGCCTAGAAGGGCATTTGAAAGTGGAAACAGAAAACAAAGATCACTTCCAGATTACAGCGGACGCGGTTGGCATGAGTCAAGGAAGCAGGTGATGAAAGAACATGGAGGACAAAAGAGGTCCTATTACATGGACCCCCAGCCTCTTAGTTATCTGGAGTGGCATTTGTACGAGTATGAGATCAACAACCACGATGGTTGTGCATTATACAGACTAGAATTAAAGCTTGTTGAGAAAAAGAAAAGTCCTAAAGGAAAAGTGACCAAGGAATCTCTTAATGATTTACAGAACAAGATGGGACAGCTTACTGCTGCTGTTCTATCATCTGATGATGGAATACCCATCAAGGGAAAAACAAATGCCAAGTCTGAGAATGATGGATCTCCAGAAAATTAAATCAATACTCAATCTGGTGATTTTACCATATGACTGACAAACTTGTACATATTTGAGGATATATCATAGCATGTGAAAGTTTCTTACTTTCCTTCAACAAGGTAAAAGGCAAATGGAATTCTCTTTTGGTAGAATGAGCTCACACTCTTGTGCTGAATTTGTCGTTAATTATACTTTTGATATTGGCGTTATTTGAAGTCTACTCATAAGAAATTCGTTATGTGCTTCATAGATTAGAAGTTAGATCTATGTTGTTAGGAAGACTCTGCATACTTTCTGATGGGTCAGTGTAAGACTCTGCAAATTTCTGACATATTCATAAACTAATTAGCATTTATTTGGTTGTAAATGTTCTCTAATTTATGGATTATTTTCAACGTATATAAGTAGTACAATGCTGCAATTCCATGAGGGAATGCAAACTAGAGTGGGGAAAATTTATTGAAATGGTGAAATTTTCAATGTTGTTTTCGAAGAAAATGAGCTAAATATAATTTTTTTTTTATCCATATGGCTAAATCCGTGGAATGCAGGACTTCAAAATAAGGAAGTTGGCTAATGAATTTATTATACAATGCAGTGAAAAAAATGTGTTTGCATGCATAACTTTTCTTACTTTTTTAATAGAAGTTGTGTTTGTGTGTACAATCTTGTTTTTTTAGTAATAGGCTGTTTTCATGGAGGATTTTCCCTTTTTCAATTAGAAAATGTGTTTCTATGCATAACGTCTATTTTTTTTTTTTGCTTTTTTTATAAAAGGTATCAGAGATTTCACAGCTTCTGTTTATTTATTTAATTACTACTTTTGTTTAATTTATTCCGTGTATACAAATTATTCTGTGTGTATGAAAAAAAAAGTATTTATGAAAATTTGACAAGTTAATATTATTTTTTTAGGTCTTCTTCGCTCTAGTAGTTTATTTGTGGAGTTTTAGCTAAAAGTAACCGACCATAATGCAGCAGGAGTGAAAACTTAAATATGATTAAAACCAACTTGTAATACGAGTTTTCATAAATGTCTTTATTTTGTTTCGGTTTATTGAAATAATATTCGGTATTTCTTTTAGTTAAGAAAAAAAAATCCCATCTCAAATTTGTTTATTGTCTAAAAATTCATTAAATTCATAAAAATTATAATTTAGTAAGAAAATTTGGATTGTATAAAAAAAAATCCAAAATGATAATATTAAATAAAAATTAAAAAACAACTTGGAGCCAATAAAATAAATTTCAATTTAAAAAATGCACGCATAGATAAAAAAATTCACATATTTTATCTAAGAAAATACAAAATAACAAAAGGAAGGTAAAAATAAATGATAGAGAAGTTTTTGCTTAATAGATTAAACATGTAAAAACAGAAGTAGTGATATAAATGATTACTTTTACGAGGAAAACAAAATTAAAAACGTGCATGAAACATTATTTTTACTAAAAAAAAAGAGAAAATAAGATATGGAAGAATTACTTCTATTTAAAATAAAATTCGTATATGCAAATACATTTTTAATAATAAAAGAAAAAAAGGAAAATTATTAATGCAAGTCATTCACTACATTATAATTAGTCAGTTGTACATTAGAATACGACTTTATTTTATCTTTTCTGAAGTTTTGCTTCAAAATAAGATTTATCCATATATCATTAATTTTTTATACTTTTACCCTTTTTTTTACTAAGTGGAAGTGAAAATCACACTATTTTGTTTAATTCCCCCAAAGGTAAAGTTATTTAAACTAAGTAAAATAAAATGGAAAATAAAAAGAAACATTAAATAGAACGGAAAGTTCTAAACAAATGCATTTTGTAACATTTATGCAAGATGATAGTAAAATCCTTAATACAACCATTTAAGATTAACGAAACTGAAATTTTCATTTTTTTGTTTAAACAAGTCAAAAGTAAGATTCAAAATTCCATAATTAAATCAAAGTGTATATTATTTCATAAAATTCTTTATTTAAAATAAATTCATTTATAAAACAAGTTATTTTTTTAATCAATCTAAAGTTTTTTCAGTTAAATATTCTAATCAACGTTTCCAATAAAATCGGTTCCCTACATTTTCATACACATACATACATACATACATACATACATACATACATACATACATACATACATACATACATACATACATACATACATACATACATACATACATACATACATACATACATACATACATACATACATACATACATACATACATACATACATACATACATACATACATACATACATACATACATACATACATACATACATACATACATACATACATACATACATACATACATACATACATACATACATACATACATACATACATACATACATACATACATACATACATACATACATACATACATACATACATACATACATACATACATACATACATACATACATACATACATACATACATACATACATACATACATACATACATACATACATACATACATACATACATACATACATACATACATACATACATACATACATACATACATACATACATACATACATACATACATACATACATACATACATACATACATACATACATACATACATACATACATACATACATACATACATACATACATACATACATACATACATACATACATACATACATACATACATACATACATACATACATACATACATACATACATACATACATACATACATACATACATACATACATACATACATACATACATACATACATACATACATACATACATACATACATACATACATACATACATACATACATACATACATACATACATACATACATACATACATACATACATACATACATACATACATACATACATACATACATACATACATACATACATACATACATACATACATACATACATACATACATACATACATACATACATACATACATACATACATACATACATACATACATACATACATACATACATACATACATACATACATACATACATACATACATACATACATACATACATACATACATACATACATACATACATACATACATACATACATACATACATACATACATACATACATACATACATATATATATATATATATATATATATATATACACACACGTTTATTGTAGTTAAACACACATATGCAAGAATAATTAACATAAACAATAAACATATAATCAATAATATACATCAATAATAATATCTCACTGATAATATTACATACATTAACTCATTCACTATCAACAAATATTATACTGTCAATCAATAAAACTCCACCAAAGTAATCTACAAGCACCACATATTTAATAATAGAACAATCACTACAACAATTCTTTGAAATACTGATGAAAATAAATGTTAGTAAATTTAAATTATCAATAAAGTTTGAAATTTTAATTATCAATATATTTTATTGACATATTTATTATTGACGACATATTTCATTTATTAATGAATTTTTTTCATCGATAACATTCATCGATAATTTTAAATCTGAAAATTTGTCACTAATATTTGTCAATAACTTAGAATATTTATTATTAACAGATTTGTCCGTCAATAAATATGCTAATAAAAGGAACAATAAATTTCTTGTCCACGTCATTTCATCTTCTTTCCTCCAATAATTCTACCTTCAAAATCCTAAATCACCAACAAATATGCACGAAAGTCACCACGCACCTCCATTGCACAAGCATCAAAACTAATTTTCAAACAACAATAGAACTAAATCGTTAGGGTACTTCACAAGTGCTCCTGTTCTCCAATCCACTAGACAAAAATGCAAATCATCTGTTTAAGTAGCACAAGTTGCCAAAAGGCTCGCATCACTGTATCTCCTCCATTGGACGAACCACCAACAAAGCGCGACCACACAACACCTGTTCAACCACCTTAACCATATTACATCGTCATCAACTCATATATGCACCTTGAAGTAGTTCGAACAAACCTTAAAGCGCAAATATGCAACCATTAGATGCAGCAAATTGCAAACACACACCATTGGAGCTAGCATCAGTACCAAACCAAACTATGATGCTCTCATCAAACTACCAACCTCTTGTGCAAACCATGCTCCAAATCACAAATCCATCTCACAATAAAATAGCCACATTGTGCAGTAAGCCCTAATCGTGCCACCACCACACACAAAGCCATCTCCACCAGATCTCTATCTTCTTGTGCACCATCACCTCATTGCCTCACCATGAAATGTGAATCCATTAACGAAAGAAAAATGAAACACCAACAAATATCCATGCATAAATTCACTAGGAATAAAGAAAAACTAATGTATAAGAATCTGAGATGATGGGTTCTCCACGTGATGCTTAGGGGAGATGCATTCTCCACTGGTGATTGAGGATTAAATGAGATGTGTGTTAGCCTTATACAGAAAAAAGGTTACATTTTAAGAATATATCTATCCCATTTATTTTATTTCCTTTTCAGTTAATATTTTAAAAGCAGTTAATATTCTGAAAGTGGTCCATTTTAAATAAAAAACCGTTTTCAAACGTGTGGGTGTGTCATTATTCCCACAACAATCTCTTCTAACGTTATAAAAATACTCTGTGATGGTTTTTTGGAGCACTACAAAAAATTTCATATCAGGTTACTGAGCCTACTCTTTACTTTATATACATCACCATCGTGTTTTAAGAGCAAGGGTTCAGAAACCAAAATTTAAGCAAGCATACAACAATGGCTGGAGGTTGGTCTTTCTGCTTCCGCTTTCTTTCTTATAAATCTGAATATGATTAAATGTGCTTGTTTGAGATATTTAGATTTATCGAATCTTTAGTATGAATTTTTACATTTGGTATCAGAGCTGTTTATCCTCTGCCTTGTCTGGTTCACTCCTCTGCGTATTGTGTTTTTAGTTTTATCAATTGTTTTGAAACTGAATCAAAAGAAGAAAGTTTTTCTGTGAAATTTTGGTGCTAAAACCCTCACATATTATTGGGTTCGTGTTTGAATACGCCTTGTTGGAACCATGCTGGAGGTTGAAGATGATTGAAACGACATTTGTTTTTGCGTTTCATTTTGGGCATCTTTCAGAAAAAATATATTCAATTTTTATTTTTTCTTCTTTATCTGTTGTACACATACGCGCACTAGAGATTTAGGTACGCTGCTTCTGGTTTTAATTAATAATGTACGCTTCTGGTTTTATCTCCTCTGCCTTGTCTTTTCATTCTGCACACACAGATTTCTTTTCATATATATATATATATATAGCACTGGTATACATGCAATTAGGATTAAAGTGTACGTGGATATTATACTAATATTTAATGTTAGTATAATAATTTTTGAATATTATATATTTATAATATGACTCTTATATTTTATTTAGATTAAATATAAGACAGAATTTAATGTTTAGTGATAAATATAATTTTTTAATAATTAGAGAGTAGCCACAACATCTTTAATTAATTAAATTATATTATAAAGATCACTTTATTGAAACATTA